CTGGGCACTGAGGCCCTGAATGAGGAAGGCACCAGGGGAAGAGGGAACCCAGGGCGAGAGGGCGAGAGAGAGAGAGAGAGAGAGAGAGAGAGAGAGAGAGAGAGACAGACAGACAGACAGACACAGAGACAGAGACAGACAAGCGGTGACCCCGGGGTCCAAAAGTGCCTCCTCCCCGTGCCCATTCAGGCCCACCGGCGATGAGGCTGGGAAGTGGGCGCCCGAGCCCCTCCGCCCGAGACTGCGGGCGCCTGGCCGCATCCGCGCGCGCTCCGCGAAGCCGGGGTGGCGGCCCGGCCGGGTGGGCCCCGCGGCTCCTTACCGGCTCTTGTGCAGACTCGACATGGTGTTGACTTCCGGATCCCCCCTGCCGCCTCCGCCGCCCCCGGGACGCGGGGCGCTCCGCACAGGCCTCCGACCGGAAACGCGCCGCCCGCGTGCGTGTTCCGTGCCGCTCCGCCCCCCACTCACGTGCCGCCCCCTTCCCCTAGACCACGCCCCTTCCCTAGACCCGGTCCTTCTCCAGGCCCCGCCCCTTTCTGTAGGCCCCGCCCCCTCCCTGTCCAGCCCACGGATCCCGCGGCCAAGTGTGGGGGCGCTGAGCGGGTGCCCTAAGGTTCTTCCTGGAGCTTCCCTGGGCCTCCGGTTCCATCTACGAAATATCCCCGTCACCGCCTCCTTGTCACCCGCAATTAGCTCTCGTGTCCTTGTTTCAGGAATGCACTCCCTCTGCCACGCTACACAGGAATCTTCCCTGCCAGATCTTCACCCCGAGAGCAGATATTGGACGGAAAACAGGACTACAAGCCAGTGTTTCGGTGACTTTTGGATTCCGTGAAGGCAAAATGTGCTATAAAAGAACAATAGAGCCCTAGCTGGTGTTGCTCAGTGGATAGACACCTCCACCCCTTCGATTCAGGTCAAGGGCACGTGCCCAGGTTGCGGGCTCGATCCCCAGGAGAGGGCGTGCAGGAGGCAGCCCAGCAATGATTCTCTCTCATCACTAATGTTTCTAACTCTCTCCCCTTCTCCCTTCCTCTCTGAAATCAATAATATATATATATATATATATATATATATATATATATATATATATATGTAGCCGAAACCGGTTTGGCTCAGTAGATAGAGTGTCGGCCTGCGGACTGGAATGCCCTGGGTTCGATTCTGGTCAAGGGCATGTACCTTGGTTGCGGGCACATCCCCAGTAGGGGGTGTGCAGAAGGCAGCTGATGGATGATTCTCTCTCATCAATATTTCTAACTCTCTATCCCCCTCTCTTCCTCTCTGTAAAAAATCAATAAAAAATATATATTAAAAATAAATAAATATGAAATCTTACCAACGTGGATATAATGGAATTTTTTTAATAAAAAGAATTAATTGTACATAAAGGGAAACCCACGCTGTGTACTTACTTTTATCCGCCTCCTCTCACTCAGCATAATTATTTTGAGATCCGTTGTAACAGATCATTCCTTTGTGTTGCTGTGCAGATCCCATTGTCTGGAGGGACCATAGTCTGTCCTTTGCACACTTGGATTGTCTCCAGTTTGGGGCAATTACAATAAAGCCGCAGTGACTATTTATGCACCAGTCTTTACGTGGACACATGCTTTCATTTCTCTTGGAGTGGAATGGCTGGATGTATTTAAAATTTTTAGAAGCTGAAACCGGTTTGGCTCAGTGGTAGAGCGTCGGTCTGCGGACTGAAAGGTTCCAGGTTCGATTCCGGTCAGGGGCATGTACATTGGTTGCGAGCACATCCCCGGTAGGGGTGTGTGCAAAAGGCAGCTGGTCGGTGTTTCTCTCTAATCGACATTTCTAGCTCCCTCTCTCCCTTCCTCTCTGTAAAAAAATCAATAAAAATATATTTTAAAAATTTTTAGAAAATATCTAGGTAAACCATTTTCTAAAATGTTTTTATCCCTTTATACCCATACTGGAAGTGTATGAGAGTTTCTGTTGTAACATATCTTCATCAACACTTAGTATGGTCAGCCTTTTTAAAAAAATATATTTTATTGATTTTTTACAGAGAGGAAGGGAGAGAGATAGAGCTAGAAACGTCGATGAGAGAGAAACATCGACCAGCTGCCTCTTGCACACCCTCCACCGGGGATGTGCTCGCAACCAATGTACGTGCCCTTGACCAGAATCGAACCTGCGACCTTTCAGTCCGCAGACCGACGCTCTACTGCTGAGCCAAACCGGTTTCAGCATGGTCAGCCTTTTTAATGTTAGACATTCCAGTAGTGGTATCTTGTCATTGTTCTAATATGCATGTCCCCAAAGACCAATGACATTGAGTGTGTTCTCATGTGTTTGCCATCTATATATCTTCTTTGGGGAAGTTACCTGTTCAAAACTATTTCCCAATCTTCATTGAATTGCTTGTTTTCTCACTGAAATATATTTTTGAGAATTCTTTATATTTTCTAGACACATCTTTTTTTAAATTTTGGTAATATATACATAACACAACATTTCCATCTTAGTCATTTTAAGTGTACAGCTCAGCAGTGTTGGGTGTATTTACACTGTACTGTAATCTCCAGAACACTTTTGTTGTTCCTGCTGTTACTGGTAATCCTCAATAGAGGACGCTTTCTCCGTTGATGTTTAGAGAGTGGAAGGGAGGGCATGTTCCAGTGGAAGGGGGGATGTGTTTTCTCTTACATCGATGCTTCTCTCTCTCTCTCTCTCTCTCTGTCGGAGAAAACACATCCTTTGGTTGCCTCCAAACTTGTTCTGACCAGGGCCAGGGATCGAACCTGCAGCCACAGCACGTCCCTTGACTGGGAATCCAACCTGAGACCCTTCAGTGTGAGGCCAATGCTCTAGCCACTGAGTAACACTGGCCAGGACTCCAGAACTCTTTTATCCAGCAAAATTGAAACTCTAAATACACTAAACGACAACTCCCCATTCCCCCTTCCCAGCCTCTGGCAACCATCATTCTTCTCTCTGTCTCTGTGACTTCGACTACTCTAGGGACCTTATATAAGTGGAATATATAGGTTTTTAAAAATATATTTTTATTGATTTCAGAGAGGAAGGGAGAGGGAGAGATAGAAACATCCATGATGAGAATCATTGATCGGCTACCTCCTGCACACCCCCTAGTGGGCATCAAGCCTGCAACCGGGGCATATGCCCTTGACCGGAATTGAACCCAGGACCCTTTAGTCTTCAGGCTGATGCTCTATCCACTGAGCCAAATCAGCGAGGGCTCATATAACATCTTTTTAAAAATTTAACTCTTGCCAGGACCAGTTTGGCTCAGAGGATAGAGCGTTGGCCTGCGGATTGAAAGGTCCCAGGTTCGATTCCTGTCAAGGGCATGTACCTGGGTTGTGGGCACATCCCCAGTAGGGGGTGTGCAAGAGGCAGCTGATTGATGATTCTCTCTCATCGATGTTTCTAACTCTCTATCCTCCTCTCTTCCTCTCTGTGAAAAATCAATAAAATATATTTTTAAAACAAAATTTAATTCTTGACAGTATTAGAGATATTCCTCAATTTCCCCCCTTTACTCCCCTCCCCCCAGTCCCTGCCCCATCCCAGTCCTTCACCACACTATTGACTGTGTCCATTCCTTATGCAAATACCTCTTAAAGTCCTTGGGGGTTTTTTTCTGTTGTTTTTTTTTAATATATTTTATTGACATTTTACATAGAGGAAGGGAGAATGATAGCTAGAAACATTGATGAGAGAGAAACATCGATCAGCTGCCTCCTGCACACTCCCTACTGGGGATGTGCCTGCAACCACGGTACATGCCTTTGAAAGGAATCGGACCTGGGACCCTTCGGTCCACAGGCCTATGCTCTATCCACTAAGCCAAACCGGTTAGGGCTATTATAGATATATTTAAAGAGATAGCAGCATCTAAACTGAGACCCGAAGGTGGAGGAGAATGCTGGCTATAAATAGGAGCAAGAAAAGTGTTTAGTTGGGGAGACATTGTTTGCGCCTATGGAGAGAAGGGTTCATTTAAAATAATAATAACAGCTGGGACCGGTTTGGCTCAGTGGATAGAGCGTCAGCCTACGGACTGAAAGATCCCGGGTTCGATTCCGCTCAAGGGCATGTACCTTGGTTGAGGGCACATCCCCAGTAGGGGGCGTGCAAGAGGCAGCTGATTGATGGTTCTCTCTCATCGATGTTTCTCTCTATCCCTCTTTCTTCCTCTCTGTGAAAAATCAATAAAATATATTTTATAAATAAAATAAAATAATAATAACAATGCTTTAAACTCTCTGGATTGAAGAATGGCAAGGAGCAAAATAAGAGGAGGGAACAAGAGGCTGGAGAGAGACAGGGGACATTTGTCCTTTGTCATCTATGAAAAGGGGTGTAAGCGAGGGAGCACCCTGATCAGGTTTACATTTTGGAAAAATCATCCTGGGACTGGGAAGAGACCGAGCGCAAGGGGCAGGGGGTTCCAAGAGGAGCCTGTTGCAGGAGCCCAGAGAGGAGATGATGGTGGACAAAGCCCGGCTCTCCTGGGTGAAAAGAGAGGGCCTGGGTTTGGGAGATCCTTAGCCCTTGGAGACTGAGCCGGGAGCTGAGGGCAACTCCCGATCTCCCCCGTGACAGCCGGGCTCCCGGCGGCCCAGGAACAGCTGGGGAGGCGGCGGGCGCCGGGAGGAGGATGACGGCGCCGGGAGGAGTGGGCGCGCTCCCGGGGGAAGCAGAGATGCTCCGTGGGGCGCTGCGCGTGGGCAGGGCGGGCGCTCCGGGGCCGCCGGCGCCGACGGGGAAGGAGGAGCCAGGCCCGCCCCGAACCGCCGCTGGGCGCTGCCGGCTGAGCCGCAGGACGGATCGGGGCGAACCCCGACCTCCCGAGCGGGCCCCCCACACTGCCCCGGAGGCACGTGCTCACCCCCGGGGCAGGGACGCCCATCGGACCCCTCCGGCCCCGGCCCACGGGCCCGGGATCCCCGAGGGGAGCCCCGGAACCTTCCGCCGCCGCCGCCCGCGTTCGCCGCGGGACCCTTCGCGAACGCCGGTCCGCGGTTGCTAAGGGGCGGCCCCGGAAGTGACGCGCCAGGGGTTTGTTGACAGCGGAGGCGGCGGCGGCTGCAGGCTCCCAGCCGTAGGAGCCGGATCGGGGGAGGGGCCGGGCCCCGGAGCCTGCACCCGGCGGCCTGCAGCCCTCAGGGCAAGGTAACGGCCACGGGGTCCCCCGGGCGCGACCCCCTCCCGCCGGGGACCCCCGCCCCCGGGCACCCAAGTCCCGCCGTGTCGCCCCCCGTCCCCCGCAGACCCCGTCCCTCAGCCTGACGACATCCCCTGCCGGCCGGGCCGCATCCTCCGCTCCCCCGCGGCCGGGCGAGGAAGCATCCCGGGGATCCCAGCGCCCAGGGATGTGCCTGCGTCCCTCCCCTTTCCCTCCTGCCTCCTTCTCTTCAGCGTCGCTTCAGCATCGCAGCTGCAACCTCTTGCACAGACAGGTCCGTCTCGGCGGCTGGTGGGAGGGCTTCCTCCTCCTCTCCCCTGCGGCCGGGTCTGAGAGATGTGCCTTTACACCGAGCTCCCTTCCTCCAGAGAGAAAGACTCCCTGTTGAATGCCCCTACAAAATGGGGGCTCCTGTAGGACTGCCCCTCCTACCTGTTGGATGAGCTTAAGTTCCCCCAAAGCCCAGGGACGGTTTGGATCTTGGATCGGCTCCTACAAGGGATGACAAGGTGCGGGGAAACCCAGCCACCCGGCCGGGTGGGAGAGCGCTGGGTGGGGTTGCAAACCTGAGGAGCGAGGAGCCAGCCGGGTAGGTGAGTTGAAACTGAAACTGCCGGCCACGGAAGCTCTGTGGGTGGAATGGGACTTGGCTGCTCTTTGGCCCACGGTGCCCAGGATCTCCCGGCTTCGCCTGTGCCTGCCAGCTCGTTTGGTTTTCCGGGCGAGAGGGATGCCTGATGCTTCCTCGGGGAAAATCACCCCATCTGATTTTTCTCTTCAGGGCTCAAGCTAGCTAGAATGGGCATTGAAGTCAGGCATCCTGTAGAGTGGGAGGTGGTGGCTAGCAGAGAGGGGCCTCTCTGTTTTGGTTCATTGCTTTATTGGGCAAAGAATAAACATCATATGGAGGGTGGCTCTGGAGATAAACAAAGAAGAAAGAGCCATGGAAAGAGCCAGAGCGCACAGGCACCTTTTATAGAGGGCGGTCTGACCGTGTCTCATGAGTCGATATCTGGCCAGAAACCTGAAGGCGGCCATACAGCTCCCCGAAGGCAGAGCATTCAATAGCAGGTACAAAGGTCCTACCGGATGGGGACAATAGGGCTGGAGTGGATTGGAGGAGGAGAGTGGTGGTTGATGAACTTAGAGAGGAGTGGGGGCAGATATAGTGTTGGGGAGGATATCAGGGACTGGCTGTGCGATGCCAGGTCATGGGTGTCTAACGGGGCACCCTTTCAGGCGAAATGTCTGGTGCTTGGAGAAAATACAGATTTGTTTTAGATGACAAATGGCCATTGTGCTCTGATCTTTGGTTGTAAGTACCCTTTTTCCGCATCTGTAATGATCATTGACGGAATACATACAAACAGGGCTGTGGTTAAATCAGGTCATGCCATTGCTTCCTGGTCATGAGAACTTGTGCAAGGGACCTTTTTCCCATCTGTACAGGGGAGATGGTAGCTTGGTCCTGGCTTTAAAAAAAAAAAAAAAAATATATATATATACACACATATATATATATATATATATATATATATATATGTGTGTATGTGTGTGTGTGTGTGTGTGTGTGTGTGTATGTGTGTATGTGTATATATATATTAGAGAGGAAGGGAGAGGGAGGGAGAGATAGAAACATCAATGATGAAAGAGAATCATTGATTGACTGCCTCCTGCACGCCCCACACTGGGAATTGAGCCCACAACCCGGGCATGTGCCCTTGACTTGAATCAAACTTGGGACTCCGGTCCGCAGACTGACGCGCCATCCACTGAGCCAAACCAGCCAGGGCTTGGTCCTGGCTTTTTTATGACAGTGGGAGGTGATGGGGACTGTTTAAAAAAGCTTAGCAAAACCCTGTCCTGCTACATAAAACAGGCAAAATATGGTGTTGAAATAAATATGAAGACAGGTTGGTGAGGGCAGAGTACGTAGGCCTTAAATGTATGGTCAGAGGATGTGTGCTGACCTGATGATGGAGACTGTCCATCCCAGAGGTTCCCGGAAGAGGCTGAGGTTTTGTGGGTTGATCTCCTCCCCACCCCCCAAGTGTAGACCTGAGTCTGACAGGCGGGGTGGGGCGTTTGGGGGAGAGGACTTGAAAATGAAAAGTCAGAGCACAGAGATGCTGAAAGCCAGCGTGTTGGAGCTGGACCCTCGGACTACCAATCTAGGTCAGGGTTCAAGCCCCTGCTGTGCTTCTGGCTTGCTGTGTGAGCTTGGGCAGTTACATCCTGTCTGGACCTCAGTTTTCCTGTCTGTACACTAATTCTGACGGCTACCGGGAGGATGAAATGGAACGAGATTCTGAAAGAATTTGTTGCACTTTCAAGCCCTCTGCAAAGGAAAAGGGCCGTTCTTGTTAGCGTCACCAAGATTCTGCAGCTTCAGTAACGGAGCTGTTCTCGATTCCTGAAATTCAAGTTCAGAGTCTCCCCCTCGGTCATCTGTTTTTGGATCAGGAAGCTTCAGAAAGGAGCAGATCTTCCAGCTTCAAAAATGAGCAGAAGGGTCTCTCCAAACATCATTCTTTGGAAATTGCTCCATAATTATTGGTTACTACCTACTTTAAAAAACATTTTTTTAAAAATTGCTTTTAGATAGAGAGGAAGGGAGAAGGAGAGAGAGAAACATCAATTGGGTGCCTCCTGCACCCCCCTGTCAGGGATCATGTTTGCAACCCAGGCATGTGCCTTGACCGGGAATAGAACCAGAGCCCTCTTGGTTCATGGGTGGATGCTCAACCATTGAGCCACACCAGCCAGGCAGTTGCCACCTTCTTCCCATCATTTCATGCCATGTCCTCACCAACCCCATGAGGTAAGGTACATATGCAACATACCGACAGGTAAGGACCCTGATGAATACTGAGGGTGTAAATATTGCCTGGGCACCCTGTGGAACTATGTCTCCTCCCCCACAACCAGCCACACCCTCACTGTTGTCAGGGAGATCTCAAGGATCACACAGGGTCCCTGCCTCAGGAAGCTTCCAGTCCTTGGCAAACAAACAATATATGTCCACAGGATGGTTCCCAGCCATGTCCGACCACCTGTACAAGGTCGCTCAGCTGTAAGGAGACGGTGAAGGCTCACGCCACAGGAGGGAGAGCTGAGGGTTGGAGAACCCGTTTGTGCCCATAGCTTAATGGTAGAGAGAGCCAGCACTTACTGGGGGACCTTAGACAAGTCATTGTACTTCTTTGAACCATGGTTTTTTCATTTAGAAGGGGAAAAAAATTATTACACATCCCTCAAGTTATGGATGGCTCCAGTGAGAAGATGCAGGGGAAGCTCAGACCACTGAGTCTTGAACTAATGAGTGTGTGTAGACATATTGGTATGTACAGCTGCATACACCAGCGGTCAGCGAACTGTGGCTCAAGAGCCACATGAGGCTCGCGAGCCACGGTTTGCCGCTCAGTTGACTAATGAGTTTGCCAACCACTGGGCCATAGACCATGGCAAATGACTTCACCACTCAGCCTCAGCTGCCTCGTGTGGTTGGTGAATCCGCAGAGTTCTTGGAATATGGTGGTCAGTGTGGGTGTCATGGCTATGTCTCTTTTTTTATATATATATTTAATTGATTTTTTTAAGAGAGGAAAGAAGAGCTGAAACTGGTTTGGCTCAATGGATAGAGCATCGGCCTGCGGACTCAAGGGTCCCGGGTTCGATTCCGGTCAAGGGCATGTACCTTGGTTGCGGGCACATTCGCAGTGGGGGGTGTGCAGGAGGCAGCTGATCGATGTTCCTCTCTCATCAATGTTTCTAACTTTCTATTCCTCTCCCTTCCTCTCTATAAAAAATCAATAAAATATATTTTTTTAAAAAAGAGAGAGGAAAGGAGAGGGATAGATAGTTAGAAACATTGACCAGCTGCTTCCCCCTCCCCCTGACCCCCTCCCCACGGATGTGCCCGCAACCAAGGTATATGCCCTTGACGGGAATCGAGCCTGGGACCTTTTAGTCTGCAGGCTGATGCTCTATCCACTGAGCCAAACTGGTTGTGGCTGTGATGGTGATGTCTCACTGGAACCCAGGTGTCCCCCAAGGGCCCCTCTGCCTCCAGCTAGCACCAGCGAGCAGGGATGACATTCCTCCTCCACTGCATTTCCACATCCTCCAACAGACTTAGACTCTGCGGGTCAGCCCTCTGCTGCTCACCTGCACCCCTGCTCCCCAGAGCCCCCCAATTCCTCTCACAGCAGCCTCCTACCCCCAAATCTTCCCTGCAGTCCCTTCCCTCCTGGGAAGCTTCCAGCCTCTACAAGGGCGTTTGTTGGGGTTTCCCCTCCCCCGCTCCTGGGTGAATTCACAGGTGGGCGCTGCTCCAAAGCTCTGAGTCCCTGTGGGCTGGGTGTCAGCGCTCCCTCCTCGACCTCACTGTCTCTTCCCTCCGTTTGGTGGGTGGAAGGCTGAGTGGCTTAGTGAGAAGCACCGGCTTGATTTAGGGCTGCGTCCCATTCTTGCCAATCACTCCGGGCAAGCCTCAGCGTCTTCATCAGGAATGGTAACTCTGGCAAAAGCAAACCGTTATTCTGTTGGTGCCGGCGCGGGCCGCGCCTATGGATCCCGGAGCGTGGGGCAGCGGAGGGGTCCGTAGACAAATGGTTGCCGAGTGATGGATTAGCCACGGGTACAGGGTCCTAGGGAGTGCTGTTTGCGGGTTCAGTAGGAGACGGTATGAAATAAGCGCAGTGTGGAGGTGGCAGCTGCTGCTGCTCTCCTCTTCCTGCTGTGCCCCCTCCCTCCCCCCGTAGGAGGTCACAGGCTCAGATGGATCCAGTTTTAGAGAACCTGCAAGAGCAGGGATGGCGGAGTTCTCACCAGGTGCTGCTCTGTCACCATCAGTTCCCTCTGCCTCAGGAGGAATGAAGAGCTGGGGGGGGAGGGGGGCGAGGTAGCTGCCTCTGGTGGGTGCCAGGCCTGCAGCTGGATGCCGCACAAGTGGCCGGGCACCCCAGCACCCAGGCTCTCAGCCTCCGTGCCAACTTGAGGACGGCTTCCTCCTCCAGCTCCTCCAGCCCCAGACAGCATGGTCGGCGCTGCCAAAGGCAGTTAGCAAATGGTGCCCTTTGCCTGGTGTGTCTTTTGGTGGCTTTGGCGGCTGACAAGGTGGTGCTCCCCTCTGAGGAGCAGGGTTAGGGCAGGGCAGCTCCCTGGGTGACTGGGGGTGGCCCTGCAGAGGAGTCGGAGCTCTGTGGCCACTGGGTGCCTAGGACTGTCCTGGGCAGGTGGGCAGGGAGGACATGAGAGCGAGCCTTGCCTCCCAGCGTCCACGTGTGGCCCAGCCTGCAAGCCCCGTCCCTCCCGCAGGCGGTAGCTGACACCCTCCTATCTGTCAGGCCCGTGGCGTTCAGCCCTTTGTCCAGCACATAGCGAGCAGTTGGGCTGTGATGCCAGCGCCCCACGCCGTCTGTCTCTGCAGCCTGTGCACAGCTTTGCCTTCTTTCTGGAACGCCTTTCCCTTCTCTGCCCACCCCCAGTTAACTGTGACTCATCTTTCGGGTTTCAGCTGCAATGTCAGAGCCCCAAGTACCTCCCTCCCCTGCAGAAAACTGGTCCCCGTTACGTGGGGCGGGTTGGGGTGCCTCTGGGTGGCCGGATGTCCCCCTTCAGAGCCACTGTGCTTCGCCAGGAGAAAGCCCTCTGGTTTCGTTCTCCACTGGCTGCACGGTGCTTACTAGATGGTTAGCGAGTGAATAGTAAAGGCCCTGGGCTAAGCCCAGGAATGCAACACCAGGCAAGACAGTCTGGTTGCCACTTCGTGGAGCTGGCTGCCTGGCAAGGAAGCCAGATAGTTAGCCCAGCATCAGTGCAAAGTGTGAGCTATTATGGTGCGGCCTTTGGGGCCACGGCAGCTACACTTGGCAGTCAGGGGGGGCTTCCTAGAGGAGAAGATGTCGACACTAACACCTGAGGGTGCTTAGGCATCAACTAAGCAAGGAGGAGCCGAAACCGGTTTGGCTCAATGGATAGAGCATCGGCTTGGGGACTGAAAGGTCCCGGGTTCGATTCTGGTCAAGGGCATGTACCTTGGTTGCGGGCACATCCCCAGTAGGGGGTGTGCAAGAGGCAGCTGATCGATGACTCTCATCGATGTTTCTAACTCTCTATCCCTCTCCCTTCCTCTCTGTATAAAATCAATAAAATATATAAAAAAAAAAAAAAAAAAAAAAACACTAAGCAAGGAGGAGAGGCCAAAGGTGGGGGGCTGGAGTGGTCCCTGACACTCCGGCAGGGGGGGCGTGAATGTGTATTGGGGGGTGGGAGCAGTATTTGGTAGAGAGTGGAATCGTTAGTTGAGTTTGGATGGTCCCAGTTGAAAGCAAACCAACTGAGCAAAGGTCTGGAGGTGACCCTCGGCCTATCACCAGTGCGATGGAGGAGGCCACAGCTGAGTGGGGGTTGACCAGAAGGCTGGTTCTAACTCCGGAGGCCCTGGGTGATGCTTGAAGGAGATTGGACTGGGCGGTCTCCAGCTGGGACTGTCCAGCCAGCAGTACCCCCTCCACTCCAGCCAGAGAGGCTGCTGGGCTCTTGGAGATCTGAAGCAAAGGAAGGCCATGCCAGGACCGAGGCAGCCTGCTGTGCCTTCCCCCAGGGTGTCCCAGAGCCAGTGGGACAGCTGGCACCAGGGCCTGTGGCAGGAGACTCAGGTGTGGGCAGCACGGACCTAAAGCTGGACAGGAATGGACTGCTCTACTTGGGGACCAGGGCAGGAGATGATGACTATGATAATGTTAATAATAATACTGGCTTTTTATTGAGTAATTACTACGTGCCGGGAACTATGCTAAGCCATTTCCATGTCATTCTGTGTTACGTTCACAAAGTGCTCCCTACTTTGGAATAGAAACGAGCACAGAGAGGTGGAGACACTTGCCCAAGTTCCCATGTTCTTAAGCAGCAGGGCTGAGACGGGAAACCAAGCTCCTTCAGCAAGCCCCCAGCAGTGGCGGCACCAGAATCAGAACTGGCCGCTGCACAGGGCCTGGTGCTCCATGGCCGCCCTGAATTCGCTGAGCAGCCTGCTGCGTCGGGTATGGACGCCGAGACTCCCAGGAGCCAGGGGCAATGCTGGGCCTTAGATTCCAAAAGCCTTCGAGAGAGGATGTGATGGGGTCCAAGCGACCAGGCTCAAATTCCAGTTTGGACCAGTAGCCTCTCTCTGAGCTTGAGTTCCCTCATCTGTAAGATGACATCAAACCTGAAACCACCCCCCCCCACCCCCCGAGTCTCATTTACTCCAGCAGCCTGTGAAGTGGGGGTTTTATCCTCCCTTCTACAAATTGGGTGTATGTTACTGGAAATACATTCTGCTCCATGGTTGCCCTCTTTTTAAAATACTATATTTTTATTGATTTCAGAGAGGAAGGGAGAGGGGGAGAGAGAGAGAAACATCAAGGATGAGAATCATTGATTGGCTGTCTCCTTCACACACACACACACCCCACTGGGGATGTGCCCGCAACCAAGGTACATGCCCTTGACCGGAATCGAACCTGGGACCTTTCAGTCCGCAGGCTGACGCTCTATCCACTGAGCCAAACCGGTCTTGGTGGAGACTTCATTTCTTACATAACTGTTTTATGGAGCCGTATTTCTTATCATACAGTTCACCTATTTCAAGTAGATAAGTCCGTGGTTTTGAGAATATTCACAGAATTGGGCAATCTTCACCACAATCAATTTTAGAACATTTTCATCACCCCAAAAAAGAAAACCACAAACCCATTCACAGTCACTCTGTATTTCCCCCAACCTGCCAGCCCTAGGCAACCACTAACCTACTCCCGTCTCTGTAGGTTCCCCGTTCCGGCTAGACGTTCTATGTAAATGGAATCACAGAATCATATGTGTGCGTGGTGCCTCTTGTGACTGCTTTCTTTCCTTAGTGTAATGTTTTCAAGGCCCAGTGTTGTATGTATCTGTACTTCATTCCTTTTACGGCTGAATTATAGTCCATTGTATGGCGAGACATTTTTGTTTGTCCACTCATCAGTGGATGGACATTGTGTTTCCATTTGGGGCTATTATGAATAATACCACTATGAATTTTAACGTACAGCCTTTTATGTGGACGTATATTTTCATTTCAATTAGGAGGAGCCTGATTCTTAATCATATAGAATGAGTTTTAGTGATAAAATGTCGATAAAGCCCTGGCACACACTAAGTGTTCAAACAGTGACAGCTATATAAAAGTTAGATTACCCGGCAGGGGCCCTGGCCAGGTAGCTCAATTGGTTGGAGCATCATCCCCATGTGCCAAGGGTTGCTGGTTCAATCCCTGCTCAGGGCACTTATAAGAATCAACCAATGGATGCATAAATGAGTGGAGCTAAGAATTGATGTTTTTCCCTTTCTCTCTCTCTCTCTCTCCCCCTCCCCCCTTCCCTTCCACTCTCTCTGAAAAGCAATAGAAAAGTATCCTCTGGTGAAGATTAACAAAAAAGGCAGTCCCTGTTATCCCCACCCAAGCGTTAGGTTCCCGACACACACGCCTGTCCACAGACATTTGTGAAGGCATAGAAACACTTAGAGAAGGCCCCTGCTCTTTGCAGTCAAATCAGACAAGTCAGCAGAGAGGGGCAAAGAGGAAGTCAGGAGTCCCGCCGCCTGGTCTGCTAAGCTGCCCGTTTGAGTGTGGCATCTGGAGCCTCCGTTTCCCGCCTCGGAGAGTAGACATCGGACAGCCGGTGGTTCTGGCCTCGGGCTCACTGAGCTTCTTTCCCATCCTCTAGGCCACATGTGTCAAACACAAGGCCCACGGGCCAAATCCGTCCCGCCAGGCCTTGCAATGTGGCCCGCACCGCGCTGTCGTCACTGCACTCCGCTGCGTTTCCATCACAATGACAGTTTATGACTGTTCAGTAAACCATTTGGCCTGCGATTTAGGCTGGATTTTAGATTTTGGCCCCTTCTCTGATTGAGTTCGACACCCCTACTCTAGGCTGTGGCTCTGCCGATGACCCTGTGAGTGCTGAGTGACTGTTGTCCCTGGAGGCCCCTGTTCTGGAGCGGCCCACCTTCCTGCCCCCAGCATGGCGTCGGACACCCCCGACTCCCTGATGGCCCTCTGCACCGACTTCTGCCTGCGCAACCTGGACGGCACCCTGGGCTGCCTGCTGGACAAGGGGTCCCTACGGCTGCACCCCGACATCTTCCTGCCCAGCGAGATCTGCGACCGGCTCGTCGACGAGTGAGCGGCCCAAGCGGGGCGGGGGCACAGGTTTCCGATGAGTGTGTGTGGAGAGATTGGACAAGTGTGTGCGCCATGTGGTAGTGTGACCATGGACATGTGTGGGTGAGGGTGTGTGTGCCTGCACATGGGTGTCCATGGGTGTAGAGTGCTGGAGTATCTCTAACTGTAAAGGTGTGTGTGTGTGTGTGTGTTGGTTATGTATATGTGTTAGTGTTTGAAGGTGTGTGCACGGGAAGAATGGGTCGGTGTACACATGGGCTTCTGCAGCACAGGAACGTTTGAGTGTGAAACTGCAGGTGTGCATTGCACCTATGAGAGGGGATAGAAGCCTGCACATAAATGAAGTTGTTTGCTGCCCTGTGTGTGTGTGCACACCGGAGCCTGTGAACACGTGACTGTGTGTGGACATACGGGGTTACACACCAGTGCCTAAGTGGATCCATGACCAGGGCTCGAATCGTTCAGAAAACCTTTACGTGGCCCCTCCAGGGGACTCCCCGCTAGTAGAGGCTCCTAGAAGCATGGCTGGGTTCAGTGACCTCTGGGATGCCCCGAAGGGAACTTGCTAGACCAGACAGTTGCATATAAAGTGGGCACCTGTGTGCGAGCTGAGGACAGAACCCAACTTGTAGTAATGTTCTGAGCACTTACCGTGGGCCAGGCAGCTCTGGTCTGACCACGGTGTAGACCGCAGTTATGGCCATTTTACAGATGAAGAAACCAAAGCCTGGAGAAGCTCAGTTAACTTGCACGAAGCTGTCTGGGTAGTGACTAGCCAAGTGGGATTTAGATCCCAGAGCGTTTGACCACAAAGCCCTTCCCACCAAGACCAGGACTCCTGCCTGAGCTGGTATCTCGAAGGGCTTGCCGTGCCCACCAGGGAACTCCACCCCCTAGGCTTCCCTCCCGAGGGAGGGGTCCGGAGGGCTGGCTTAGAGAAGAGGTGGTGGGCAGTATGTTGGCTATAGAAGTGTCTATGGTTTTGGGGGAAGAGCTTGGGGTTTGCTATTGACAAGAGGCCCCTTTATCACCAGGATGTCTGCCTTTGGACTCCTAGTTCCTAATCTCACCTGTAGGGTAGTCAGGACCCAACCAGATACTATGAGGAGGAGGAGGAGGAAGAGGAGGAGACAGAGGTTGCTGCTGGTGGTCAGAGAAGGCTTCAGGGAGGAGGGGGCTTATGCCAGGCCTTGCGGGCGAGGGTGCCCCTCTCCTGAGCAAGGCTTTCTCCCTCTCAGGTACGTGGAGCTGGTCAATGCTGCCTGCAACTTTGAGCCACACGAAAGCTTCTTCAGCCTCTTCTCAGATCCTCGCAGCACCCGCCTCACCCGCATCCACCTCCGCGAGGACCTGGTGCAAGACCAGGACCTGGAAGCCATTCGCAAGCAGGTAAGACCTGCCTGGCCAGGCACGCGATGGGCCCGGGAGGCGCCCGAGACTGCGTCCGGGCAGGGCCGATCGCCGGCAGGACGAGCAGCCAAGGCCCGTCCAGCGCTCTCCCTCATGATGCAGACCCTCCCGGCCCCCTAGCCCAGGGCCCGGCCCAGGCAGGGGCTGGCAGGTGCTGACGGCGCTGCCCCGCCCCAGGACCTGGTGGAGCTGTACCTGACCAACTGCGAGAAGCTGTCGGCCAAGAGCCTGCAGACGCTGCGGAGCTTTAGCCACACGCTGGTGTCCCTGAGCCTTTTCGGCTGTGCCAACATCTTCTACGAGGAGGAGAACCCGAGGGGCTGTGAGGACGAGTGCCTCGTCAACCCCACCTGCCAGGTGCTGGTTAAGGACTTCACCTTCGAGGGCTTTAGCCGCCTGCGCGTCCTCAACTTGGGCCGCATGATTGATGGGGTCCCCGTGGAGTCCCTGCTGCGGCCGCTCAGTGCGCTGGCTGCCTTGGACCTCTCAGGCATTCAGACCAGCGACGCGGCCTTCCTGACCCAGTGGAAAGACAGCCTGGTGTCCCTCGTGCTCTACAACATGGACCTGTCGGACGACCACATTCGTGTCATCGTCCAGCTGCATAAGCTGCGGTGAGCAGCCCGCCCGCAGCTCGTGGGGGCGGGGGCGGGGGAGGTTCATGTTGTCAGTCCCAGAAGGGTCATGAGCCCTGGCTAGGCAGAAGGTGGGCATGGAAAAGACATCCCATTCCTTCAACCCCAGGTGGCACCTGGGTCCCAGTAGGATATTCCCAGAATGCCCTGCAGCAGTGTGGTAGGGATGGGCCCTCCCTGCCATGGGCTGAAGCAGCAGGGTCTCGGAGGCAGCCCGCACCTGTGTCCAGCTCCTGATCTGCGCCCTCCCCCCATCTCCAGACACTTGGACATCTCCCGAGACCGCCTCTCCAGCTACTACAAGTTCAAGCTGACTCGCAAGGTGCTGAGCCTCTTCGTGCAGAAGCTGGGGAACCTCATGTCCCTGGACATCTCCGGACACATGATCCTGGAGAACTGCAGCATCTCCAAGATGGACGAGGAGGCCGGGCAGACCAGGTGGGGCCACCGCCACGGTTGCCGCGGGTACCACTCAACGAGCATTCCCCAAACGCCCTTCGCCAAGGCTGTCTGGGTGCAGGAGATAAAGGAGTGAGGGAGGCCCTGCCCTCTCCAGTCTGGGTGCCAGGCCCCTGTCAGGACTGGTAAGGGAGGCACGGGCTTCCCTGAGGACCAGCAGAGAGGGCCGGGGAGGAGCGGCATCCAGGCTGTCTTGGAAGTCCGATGAGAGCTCAGAGGCAGGGCGTCCTAGCAGAGGGAACAGCACGTGCGAGGCTAAAGGTGAAAACTCCAGGAGTGACCGGGACATTGTGGCGCTCAGACTGGCAGAGACAGGGCAGCGTGTTAAGTCAAGGCTGGCGGTATCGGCCGTGTGGTAGGTGCTGCAGCTGACAGGCTGGCTCCTGGGTTGAAAGATCTGATTCAAACCGACGCGGCTGTCACTGGCCACAGGCCCTATCTCTCCCCAGCCACACTTTAGCGGGTTTGCTTGTTGGGCAGGTCCCTTCCTGCTGGCTGGTGGAACCTAAAGGTGACATGTCCTCACTAGAATGGCAGATAGTCTTTTCCAGAGATGACCACAACATGCCTCCCACCCCACATGCTCCTCCGCAGTGTGACCTTGCTCCCCTCCACCGAGAGGCAGGGTCTGTGTCCCCTGCCCTGAGAGAGGACAGCTGAGCTGGAATCTGGGAGAGGGTCCCTGGAAACCCCCAGCCCCAGGGAGCCGCCCAGGCCTCCGGCCACTGACCCCGCACCTCCCCCCAGCACCGAGCCTTCCAAGAGCAGCATCATGCCTTTCCGGGCTCTGAAGAGGCCGCTGCAGTTCCTCGGGCTCTTCGAGACCTCCCTGTGCCGCCTCACGCACATTCCGGCCTACAAGGTGGGGAGCGGGCGAGGGAGGAGCAGGGAGCCCTGGAAGAAGGAAGGGGGAGGTGGGAGACCCCATGGTGTCTGACCTGGGCTAGAGGCAAGATCTGGGGCTCCCCCAGGTGGCCTCTTCCCGGAGGTCTGAGCGAGTTCCTCCCCAGGTGAGTGGCGACAAGAACGAGGAGCAGGTGCTGAACGCCATCGAGGCCTACACGGAGCACCGGCCCGAGATCACCTCCCGGGCCATCAACCTGCTTTTTGACATCGCGCGCATTGAGCGCTGCAACCAGCTCCTGCGGGCTCTGAAGGTCAGCCCCGCCCCGGAAGCAGGGGCCCGGCTCCCCCGTCCCCCGCCCCCCCCGAGGGTCCTGGCCTCGGCTGAGCCGCGTGCCCAGGCCCCCGTCCCCCCTCTGCATCACCTGCCCCAGCCCACCCCGCAGTGCCTCCCCTGCCCTGCCTTCTGCTCCCCACCCTTGGGCCGGGCAGGCCCCTCGAAGAGCCGTAGGCCTGTCCCTGCACAACTCTCACAGGACTTGCCAACCTGGGCCCTCCCTGTCTCCTTACAGCTGGTCATCACAGCCCTCAAGTGCCACAAGTATGACAAGAACATCCAAGTGACCGGCAGCGCCGCCCTCTTCTACCTGACCAACTCCGAGTACCGCGCCGAGCAGAGCATCAAGCTGCGCCGCCAGGTCATCCAGGTGGTGCTCAATGGCATGGAATCCTACCAGGAGGTGACGGTGAGCCCCCTGCCGCGGGCCTGCATGCTCCGACCCAGCCCCCAGCCCCGCTCCCCCTGCGGCCCAGCTCCCAGCCTGCTCCGAGGCCCCTCTGCTTGCTCCCACCCTTTCTCACCTGGCTCTGCACTGGCCTTGTCCCCGCACCCCTTCCCTACGGCATCGCCCCCTCCCTACACTCCCTACAGCATCGCCCCTTCCCTACAGCGTCACCCCCTCCCTACACTCCCTACAGCATCGCCCCTTCCCTACAGCGTCACCCCCTCCCTACACTCCCTACAGCATCGCCCCTTCCCCACAGCGTCACCCCCTCCCTACACTCCCTACAGCATCACCCCCTCCCTACAGCATCGCCCCCTCCCTACGGCATCGCCCCCTCCCTACACTCCCTACAGCATCGCCCCTTCCCTACAGCATCGCCCCCTCCCTACACTCCCTACGCCCCTTCCCTACAGCATCACCCCCTCCCTACGGCATCACCCCCTCCCTACGGCATCGCCCCCTCCCTACGGCATCGCCCCCTCCCTACGGCATCGCCCCCTCCCTACAGCATCGCCCCCTCCCTACGGCATCGCCCCTTCCCTACAGCATCGCCCCTTCCCTACAGCATCGCCCCCTCCCTACAGTCCCTACAGCATCACCCCTTCCCTACAGCATCACCCCCTCCCTACGGCCTCGCCCCTTCCCTACAGCATCACCCCCTCCCTACGGCCTCGCCCCTTCCCTACGGCATCGCCCCCTCCCTACGGCATCGCCCCCTCCCTACGGCATCGCCCCTTCCCTACAGCATCGCCCCTTCCCTACAGCATCGCCCCCTCCCTACAGTCCCTACAGCATCACCCCTTCCCTACAGCATCACCCCCTCCCTACGGCCTCGCCCCTTCCCTATGGCATCGCCCCCTCCCTACGGCATCGCCCCCTCCCTACGGCGTCGCCCCTTCCCTACGGCCTCGCCCCTTCCCTACGGCATCGCCCCCTCCCTACGGCATCGCCCCCTCCCTACGGCATCGCCCCTTCCCTACAGCATCGCCCCTTCCCTACAGCATCACCCCCTCCCTACACTCCCTACGCCCCTTCCCTACAGCATCACCCCTCCCTACAGCATCACCCCCTCCCTACGGCATCGCCCCCTCCCTACGGCATTGCCCCTTCCCTACGGCCTCGCCCCCAGAATCTGGGACCTGGCATCCAAGGCCCACTAACCCGCTCCACCCCACTGCCACCCTCCACCCAGGACCTTGCCCCTGCCCCTGGGCCTCTGCTCATTCTGACTCCTCTGCCCTCTGCCCAGTAATGTTCCACTGGGGGCTATTCTTTCAATAACTGCTTTTCTTATAAAAGTAATAACGATTTTTATTATAGAAAAATTATAGACACAAAGGAAAGCCCACTGCCCAGGCTAGCCTGTTAGCTCTGCTGCCGCTGCGCTGGGTCTCAGCCCGTGGTCTTTCCTGAGCGAAGGGGTGTAACGTGATTTCTGTTTCTACATAATGTTTTGGTTTTGTTTTTCTGTTTCTCACTCTGCATAACGCCGGCGTAACGTGATTTCTGTTTCAGCAGTCTCCTGGATGGGGGCCTCTCCCATACCAACAAATGTTTACAACAAAATTTTTAAATAACGTTTGTTTTCTGATTCCAAAAGCAAGACACCGAATGCTTAGAAAACAAATGCAAGTAAAAAGGAAGTGAAGTGACTAGAAAGCAAAAGTTGCTCACAACCCCAGCCCTCCTCCCCAGACAGCGGGTTCTAACGAGCGTTGCAGTCGCTGGTGTCGGCCTAGAGTGCCGGCTGTGGTTGTGGACTCAGCCCCGGGGTGGGCATTCAGGTCGCTGTTCTATTGCTCCTGAGGGAGGTCTGCCGGCTCTGCGTACCTGAGTGCCGGGTGCTGCCTGTGTGAGGTGGAGCTGTGGGCAGTGGGATGTGCATGAGGAAGCACCGGGTGTGTATGCTCAAACTGCCCCCAGGAAGGCTGCGGTGGGGACGCGGCCCCACAGGGACGGGAAGCCCGCTTTCCCACAGCCTGCCCACTCCAGGGCAGCTGTCTCCACGTGGAGGCCGACTTACAATCAAGCAAGGGGGCGTCTTTTTTTAATGAAAAATGTTACTTGAAGACTCTCAAATGAATTAATAAGCTCTATCAAAGAAAAGGAAATTGAAATAGCAAGATATCACATTTCATCTCAATGTGGATGATACCTGACATTGACAATGGGGAGGGGACGAGCACTCGCACTCTCCACGGGGGAGCGCTGAGTCAAACAGCTCTTAAAGGGCGGCTGTCGGACCTGCCGGAGCTAGACGCGCACTTACTGTCGGCCTCGGTGTCCCACCGTCAGAAATCTGGAGGGAAGGATATGTATACAGCCATTTTTTGAGAGAGAGAAACATCAGTTTGTTTTTCCACCTACTTATGCATTCATTGGTTGCTTCTTGTGTGTGCCCTGACCAGGAATCAAACCCACAACCTTCGTGTATCAGGATGATGCTCTAACCAACTGAGCTACCCAGCCAGAGCCTATATCCACACTTTGTGCTTAAGTAGAGGTCAGTGGGAGCTAACATGTTTTAGTAATAGGGGTCTGGAAAAGTAACGCACCACCCATCCCTCCAGTGGGATAGTAGAATAACTCTGCATATCCCCACATGGAAGGAGCCCCTGCAGATGGCTAAGTGAGGAGAAGTTTGGGGCCAATATGTATAAGGTCTTTTCTTGCCTCTACTCACCCCCAAACATATATTTGTACTTATATAGGAAGAAATCTAGAAGAATGTACACCAAACTTGTTAATATATTTTTCTTGATTTCAGAGAGGAAGGGTGGGAGAGAAATAGAAACATCAGTGACGAGGGAGAATCATTGATCAGCTGCCTCCTGTACGCCCCCCTCTGGGGACCAAGCCTGCAACCTGGGCGTGTGTCCTGGACCGGGAATCAAACCGTGACCTCCTGGTTCATAGGTCGATGCTCAACCACTGAGCCACCCGCTGGGCTAAACACTTTCAATTTTAAGAACTGTGTGCTCCCTCTTGGCCCAGAAACCCCGCATAGAGCCAGCAAAAATGGCCTTGGACCAAGCCTGCCAGACACAGCTGCCATCTTTACAATCCTGTTCCCCAGAGGCCCCGGGCTCCCCATGGCAGGAAGAGGAAGGCCTGTGCATCCAGCTTTTAAGTGATTACTCTGGGAAATGAAGTGGGGCACTAACTTCCTGTTCAGATAGGATTAATTGATTTTTCCCCCCAGTAAATAATGCTTTTATAACTTAAAAAATATTTTTTCTCAAATTAAAAAATATATGTATATTGGGGGGGAGGCCAAGAGTTAACCATAGGTGATATCTTTTCATTTACATAATTAGTAAAGTATAGTGAACTTCCAGTATCTAATGAGAGAAGATTAAGGAAACTAAATTACAAGGAAAATGCGCTGAGAACACTAAAGATAAAGCCTGCAGACAACGCAGAGAGAAATGAGATGTGGAGCCTCTAGACTAGGGGTGTCGAACTCAATCAGAGAAGGGGCCAAAATCTAAAATCCAGCCTAAATCGCGGGCCGAATGGTTTACTGAACAGTCATAAACTGTCATTGTGATGGAAACACAGCAGAGTGCAGTGATGACAGCGCGGTGCGGGCCACATTGCAAGGCCTGGCGGGATGGATTTGGCCCGCGGGCCTTGTGTTTGACACATGTGCTCTAGACTCTCCTGCACTGCTGGCGGGAGTGTGAGCTGGCACAGCCACTTGGAAAGCGGTCTGGGGTTACCCGGTGAAGTTGAAGACACACACACCTTGTGACCCCACATGTCACCCCATACGTGTGTGCCCCAGTGGGGCCCATGTTCATGGATACCCGGATGTATGTACAAGATATTGTTGGAAGTAGTTAAAACATTGAAGTCCGCCAGCATAGAGTGAATGTGTGGATTGGAATACAATACTGCAATGAAAAAGGAACGCACTTCAGCTACTTAAAACATGCTTGATCTTGCAAATCTGTGGTTAAACGAAAAGAAGCAAGATGCTAGGAAATCTTTCAAATGAAAAAGCAGGGGTTGTGGCATCTCTAGTGGGGAGAGGAGCTTATGATCAGAAAGGGGCATACAGAGGCTTCCGGGTGCTGGCAATGTTCTGTTTTTTTTTTTTAAGGATTTATTTATTTATAACATATTTAATTGATTTTTCACAGAGAGGAAAGGAGAGGGATAGAGAGTTAGAAACATCAATGAGAGAGAAACATCGATCAGCTGCCTCCCGCACACCCCCCACTGGGAATGTGACTGCAACCAAGGTACATATCCTTGACTGGAATCGAACCCGGGACTTTTCAGTCCGTAGGCCAATGCTCTATCCACCAAGCCAAACCTGTTTTGGCAATGTTCTATTTCTTGACCCAGGAGGTGGCCACATTGTTGTCGGAATGCTTGTCTGCTTTATGATTATTTGGAAAGCTATAGATTTGTGATTGTATCCACGCTTCTCTATGAATATTGTGTTTCACAATTTTCAAACGTGTGCTTTAAGGAAGCCGTGTAGTCTCCTCTTCCAGAAGGTCTCCTGAACCACCACAGCCCTGGATGGACCCTCACGTCCGGAGAGCCTCTGGCCCTGACTGTGCCCCCTTTGTCTCTGCGGCCCAGGTCCAGCGGAACTGCTGCCTGACCCTCTGCAACTTCAGCATCCCGGAGGAGCTGGAGTTCCAGTACCGCCGCGTCAACGAGCTCCTGCTCAGCATCCTCAACCCCACGCGGCAGGACGAGTCCATCCAGCGCATCGCCGTGCACCTGTGCAACGCCCTGGTCTGCCAGGTGGACAACGACCACAAGGAGGCCGTGGGCAAGATGGGCTTCGTCGTGGTGCGTGCGGCCGGGCTTCCCTCCCCTCCCGCCTCACCCGTAGCCCCACTGCCCGTGGAGGAGTCAGGCTAGACCAAAGGAGGAATTTCCTATGCGTGTCCTCGGCCTAGAACATTCTGTCATCCCCCTTAGCCCCGCTCTTCGCCCATGGGTCACCCGGTACAGTCACTCCTGCCTCAGGCCAGCTGCCTGCAAGTGAGCCGAGGGGCAAACCACCGTGCTCGCCCCTCCCATCATTAATTACGTCCCAGCACTTTCTGGCAGAAGCCCGGTGCACAGGAGGGAGGGAAGAACAGTTTGCTGAAGAGAGGAAGGAGGGACTGGGGAAGGAAAGCCAGTCCCTTCCTTTCTCACCGGGGAGGCTGAATCCCCAGAGGAGGAGGCCGTGCCCAGAGCCACTCAGGGAGTCAGGGCTGAGCCAGGACTAGCACCCAGGCCTCCTGATGCAGGTACCAAGTCTTAAACAGCCTCCCCCCAGAGGGGCAGGTTTGGTCTCTTAGGAACAGAGCTGCTGTCCTTCCTGGGGTGACCGGGGGATGGGAGCTCTTGGCCCGGCCCCTGCAAGTTCTCTTCTCCGCCCGCAGACCATGCTGAAACTCATTCAGAAGAAGCTGCTGGACAAGATAGTAAGTGGAGTCTCCTGGAGCCCCTCGCGGGACTGGTTTGCCCCGGGGGTGCCCATGTTTTGTCAGGGGAGCCCTCTGTGGGGAGCTGTGCTGAGCGCCCCTTCCCCACCTCTCAGTGTGACCAGGTCATGGAGTTCTCCTGGAGCGCGCTCTGGAACATCACGGACGAGACGCCCGACAACTGTGAGATGTTCCTCAACTTCAGCGGCATGAAGCTCTTCCTGGACTGCCTGAAGGTAGCATCTCTGCCGCAGCCTCCCTCTGGACCCTCCACACGCCACCCGGTCCCCCGGCTCCCCGCCCTCTGGGCTTCCCCCCGGAGGCCAGCAGGGGCCACTCGGCCCACCAGCCCAGGGTTGGCTGCAGCAGAAGCTCAGACGCCTTCCCTGGCCCAGCGGCCTGGCTGGCCCTCCCTCCATGGGAACTCTGCCCTCCTCCCTGGTGCCTGCTCAGGCTGGCCCTCCCACCTGCCCGGGGTCCATCGGGACTCAGCTGGACAGAATTCTGTCCAGTAGAATCGTCTGTTCATCCTGAAACACATTCTTTGTTTTCTGTTTTTTCTTTTCTATATTTTATTGACTTTACACAGAGCGAAATTGAGAGGGACAGAGAGTTAGAAACATCAATGAGAGAGAAACATCGACCAGCTGCCTCCCACACACACCCCACTGGGGATGTGCCCACAACCAAGGTACGTGCCCTTGACCGGAATCGAACCCGGGACCTTTGAGTCCACAGGCCGACGCTCTATCCACTGAGCCAAACTGGTTTGTTTCGGCACATTCTTTGTTTTCTTACTCTATTCTCTAAGGGGATTCCATTAAACTAGAATTTTTTTATTTTTTATTTTTCGTTAATCCACAGGCCAAATGCTCTATCCACTGAGCCAAATCGGTTTTGGCAAGGAGGCAATGTGAGAGAGACACATCAATTGGTTGCCTCCTGCACATGCCCCAACAAAGGGTGGGGAGTAAACTGCAACACAGGTACATGCCCTTGACTGGGAATCGAATCAGCGACCTTCGGTGCTCAGGCCAACACTCTAACCATTGAGCAACACTGGCCAGAACTAAACTAGTATTTTGAGCTTTGGTAAATAGAACCAAGTTAGTCCCATTCACAATTTTAGGACCCATCTCCACTCAGCCTTTGATTTTTGTGGCAAGGAGCCCCCACCATATTAATCCCTCATAGTGTGTACCCAGCACTAGAAGGTAGGAGGGCAGCATATTGCACCCCCTCTTTGTCTAGTCGGAGTGGCCAGACAGATGCTCATAAAGTGTCTGGGTTAAGAATACCAGACTAATGAAGTACTAACTGGTGCGGCCCCGATGGCTCTCATTTGGCCAGGAATTCCCTGAGAAGCAGGAACTCCATCGGAACATGCTGGGCCTCCTGGGAAATGTGGCCGAGGTGAGGGAGCTGCGGCCCCAGCTAATGACCTCCCAGTTCATCAGTGTCTTCAGGTTGGTACTCCTCTCCTTTGCCTTTTTGCCTTGGCTGCCAGGATGCTCAGAGTTCTAGTCTGTGCTTACTAGCAGCAATTGCTCTTAGCCTAGGACCTAGGTGTTTGTTATAAGTATTACCTTCCCTCTATATTAGAGTCTATAGCCTGGCTTCTGATTCTTTCAGCCTCCCAAAATGGTCCTCTCGCGGCTCTGTCTTACGTTAGCGCCTCGAATCCCTTTTAGAAATCCTCTGGGGCTGGACAATAAGTGACAAAAGCAATTAGTTCCTCTGCGTGCGGTTTGTCAGCTGGGGTCCAGCAGCTGGTATCTGAGAGGGACTGGGGGGACTTGGACTCCATTTCTCTCCCTTCTTGGCAGCAACCTGCTGGAGAGCAAGGCCGATGGGATCGAGGTTTCCTACAACGCCTGCGGCGTCCTGTCGCACATCATGTTCGACGGGCCCGAGGCCTGGGGCATCTGCCAGCCCCAGCGGGAGGAGGTGGAGGAGCGCATGTGGGCCGCCATCCAGAGCTGGGACATCAACTCCCGGAGGAACATCAATTACAGGTGCGGAGGGCGCGGTGCTGGGACCGGACGCCCTTTCCCCCTTTCCCTGCACCTGTCGGAGCCTCTGGCCTTTCTTCCGGTTCTCTGTCGGGTCTTACAGAGGCAGAGTCCGCAGGCAGCAGGCAGAAAGGCACGTGTGTCCCAGCCTGCGGCTCTGTGCCTGCCTCCCTTCCCGCCGCCTCCCCGAAGCTGTTCCGGGCACATTTCATTGTTTCAGTGCAGCTGGCTCCAGGCGCACTCTCTGTGGTTCAGTTTCCAGCCACAGGTCGGGGTCTCCCTCATTGTGTTATGACTGGGTCCGTTCGTTCGTTTGTTCTTTCCTTCCTTCCTTCCTTCCTTCCTCCCTTCCTCCCTTCCTCCCTCCTCCCCTCCTCCCTTCCTCCCTTCCTCCCTTCCTCCCCTCCTCCCTTCTCGGTGGGGATGACTGAGTCACCTTCTGTGACGGGCGGCCCATCCGATGGGCACTGAAGCTGAAAGCCCACATTGGGAGGAAGGGGCTCACGGGAGAGATGAAGTGGGATCACTGCCGAGGGGGTTTGCAGACACATTTTGGGGGCTTTTGGACATGCGTGCTGATGGCCCAGAGAAGGTCGTGGTCAGTGTGGTCACACCTTCAGCCTTCCAGGCACACCCTCCTCCTCCCCCCGCAGGCTGGGCCACTCCTTGCTGAGGCCCCATTTCTGCACCACCTCGTCTGTGTCCCTCCCCACATGTCCGGCCCTTGACTTCTCTCCATAGGGAGCGGCCTTGCGAAGCCTCAAGTGGATTGAGGGCCAGATGCCCGCACCTCTGCTGCCTGCTGGGAGCTCAGTTTGTCCCCGGACCCCGCAGGGAGGAGAGATGTAAGATGCACGCCCCCAGCCCTGCCCCAGAGTGACCTCGATTTGTCTTCCTACAGGTCGTTTGAGCCAATCCTTCGCCTCCTTCCCCAGGGCATCTCCCCCGTCAGCCAGCACTGGGCCACCTGGGCCCTGTACAACCTTGTGTCTGTCTACCGTGAGTATCACTGGCCTTGGTCACACCCAGGGACCCCCAGCTGAGGGCAGCCTGCCCTCCGGAGGCTCATACCCAGCCTCGCCCTCCGGAAGCTTCTAGCCCAGCCTCGCCCTCAGAGCTCTAAAGGAGAGCTAACGTCAGGGTCTGTGCCTCGAGCACAGCCTCGCTCGCTCTCCAGAATCTGCAGGGCGCACAGCATATGGCTGGCCCGGCCCTCTCACCGGGACAGGCTGGCAGGTGAGAGGCCACCCGGCGTTCCCAGACAGCTCTCAATGTCCCTGCTCCCATGTGAATGGTCAGAAAGGCAGAGGGAACCCACCAAACAAAGATCCTAGAGAACCGGGAACCTTAAAACAGCGCTGCTTCCTCAAAGAGAGCCCCAGCCTCCCTCCCAGAGGAGCGGAGCTGCCCTGGCCCGGCGACTCGGGGGGACACAGAAAGGGGGTGCCGCACTAAGGCTGATGGCGGACCAGGCGTGACCCCGAGTTCCCTCCCTCACTGGTTATGTGCCTGATGTGGGTTCTTTAACCTCCTCTGTGAAATGGGGACCATGATGTCGCCTACCTCGTAAGATGGATCTGAAAAGAGAACCAGCAGAAAGTGCTGAGCCCGGGGCTGGGCACTGCTCAGTGCTGTTCACCTGCGGCGCGGACGGGTGTTCTGGGTGGGGGCGTGCAGGCAACCTGGGTTTGAAAACTGGCTCTACCACTTGCTGTGCTACTGTAAGCAGGATTTTCGACCTCCCTGTGCCTTCCATTGTCTCATCTTTAAGATGGGATGATAATAATAGCACTTACCTCGTAGGACTGCTGTGGAAAAAGACACGTTAAAGCGCTTAGAACATACCGACTGTTCACTAAACAGCAGCCTCTTTATTACCAGTCGAGGTCAGTCTTAGTAAAAAGTAGCACCTTACCTCAAAGAGGCAGTGGAGCAGAGGAAAGAGCCCTGGATTGGGACTCCCTCGGCCGGCTCTGGAGGGACTGTGGGTGAATTCCTTCCTCTCTCTGGACCCGTCCTTCCATCTGTAAAACGGAGACAGTGAGATAGTTCTGCCTCATAAGCTGCTGCGGCCCCGTGTTCTGCACGGAGTTTGGCCCTGCATCCGGGCACCGGAATGCTCTGTTGGAGTGAACCAGAACTCCCAGTGGGAAGGCCTGTTGTCCAGCCTGCTGACCAGTCGCCTGGCGGTCTTCGTTACAAACGCATACACCTGGATCTGCTGAATCCGAATGCCCGAGGGCAAAGCTTAGAAATCTTATTTTTATAAAACTTCCCAGAGAACGTTAGCCGCCAGTTGAGGTGCTATTTTCCAGAGGGAGCTGGGGGTGGGGGCGCGGAGTGGGGGGGGATGCTGCTGCGTACCACGGTGGGAGGAGCTTTTCCAAGGAGTCACCCCTCCCTCCCCCAGGTGGACGTGGGCTGGGCAGACATGGCTCTTCCCAGATTAGAGCCCGGCCCTGGCCCCATCCCCCTGAGGGGGCAGTCCGCACAGCAAGGGCCCCAAGCTGAGCGAAGACCTACCCTGATCCCCTGCTGTCTGCCCCTGCCTACCCACAGCGGATAAGTACTGCCCCCTGCTGATCAAAGAAGGCGGGATGCCCCTTCTGAAGGACATGATCAAGATGGCCACGGCGCGGCAGGAAACCAAGGAGATGGCCCGGTAAGAGGCAGGCAGTGTTTCTGCCGGAGCCTTGACTGGGGGGCTTAGGGTCACTGCAGGCGGGATGGAGGTGGACAGCACATTGATGTCCGGCTGGGGCCTCCCTGAGTGTCGTTCCAGCCACAGTGTGGCCATCAACAAGTCAAATCCGAGCCTCCCGTTATTTCTGGCTAAAACATTCCGACAGGGAGGAGGCGGGTGGTCACGCACAGGGCAGAGTGAGGCGTGTCTGAGTGCGAGGTCCCTGCAGCGTCAGGCCCTTCCCTGCCGTGGCCTCTCACTGCCGAGACCAAGATGCTCTGGCTCTGACCTCACAGCGACCCGCACGCAAGAGCCTCGTGGGTGCCTGTGTCAGCACCACGGCCTTGCTTTCCTCTAGGACCCGTTCTGGGCGGGAGCGTGCTTAGGTTTACCCCCGTTCCCAACGTGGTGCAGAACACAGCGTCATGGAGAGGGCCTGGAGCTCCGAGCCTCGCAAGACACGGCTGGGCTGGGGAGTGTTGGCCACGTCTGCAGTTCTTTTTGGCAAAAGGCACGGCTTCAACGTTAATTGACAGATTTATCTGAGTTTAAGAATAGTAAAATGAGTGGTTCTCACATTTCATCTCCCTAAAGAATCCTCTGGAAAGACTGTTTGCAATGTACAGGCCCCAACCTCGATGTTCCCTCCCGGTGGGTGTGGGAGGTGGGCCTGGGGACATCCGCTGTCAGCGGGGTCCCAGGGGGTCCGAGAAGCACTGGGTAAGACGGCCCATAACCTACCCCCGACACTGGACGCCTTGGCATCTGAGCGGCTGTGTGGCAGCGCTGTGCCTGAGGCGGAAAGGGCCCTCAGGAGAAGTCCGTCCGCCTCGTCCCAGCTCCTGTCCACACCGGGCATCCCTGGCTTCCTAAAGCGCTCCGGCCTCCTCAGCTCAGAGGCTGCAGTGAACAGCACCGCCACCCACCCAGCCCCAGCCAGCACCAGGGGCTGAGTGTCGCATGGGAAGGCCACCGGAGTGTGGCGGGGCAGCAGATCCCAAGGGCCAGACCGAGTGGGTGAAGGACTCAGGTCTGAGCACGAATGGCTGTTCCCAGGTGTGGAAGGGCGGCCCTGGGAGTCTGGGGTGCAGTCCGGGGCCGTTAGACTTTGGGGGAGAAAAGGCCTGAGTGTGCAGGAAACGTGAAGAAGAGAGGCAGGCTGAAGAAAGGATCGGGTTTGGAGGTCAGGCTTGAGCTGATTCAGGGGAGCCCCTGAGGCCGAGGGGGGCCAGGGCATAGGAAAAGGCAGGGAAGACAGGGCACTGATGGCCCCGGGTACCGTCTCCTGGGTGCTGTGCACAGGCCGGCCACTCTGCCGGCCACACCCCCAGGCAGCATCATTGCTAACAAACTCCGAGGCCTGATCAGCGGGGAGGGACCGGGCCCACCACCCAAGCCCGCCTTCAGTGCGCTCCCGTTGTCTCCAGAAAGGTGATCGAGCACTGCGGTAACTTTAAGGAGGAGAACATGGACACGTCCAGATAGAGGCCTGGTCCCGTGGCCACCACTGCTCTGGACACGGCCGGCCGGCAGCACTCCGCCAGCCGGCACCCCCGGGAGCGCCCACTGGGTGAAGGGACGCGAGGACTTTTGCACAACTGACGCTTTTCCTTAACATTAGTGAGATATATATATTATATATATATATTATTTTTGTTGGTAGGAAGTGTGAAGTTTTGTGTATATGATTTCTGTACAAAAACAAAAGAGATTCTCCCTGAGTCCTTATAGCTTCCTTGGCCATTCTCAAGCCCCAACTCAGCTTTCATCGCTGCCCCGTCTCCCTCCCCCCAACTCGATGCCTCTAACCTTGCGAGTGCCCATTCCTCCCCCAGAAATCTCAGACCCCGGCCTCGCTTCCTGTTAGGAGAGGCAGCAGGCTTTTAACAACCCACCCCAGCGCCCCCCTGCCCCCCAGAGCCTGAGAACCGCGTCTGGGCTCCTGAGGGCAGCTGACGGCGCTTAGGGATTAAAACAACCCCACTGAGTCTCCTGAACGCCTTGGTGCTGCCAGCTGTGGGCCATCTGGGGCAAAGGAGTGAGCTGTGCCCAGGCCCAGGCCACCCTGCCCCGGGGCCCCTCAGGCGCGGGGCTCCCGTGGCCCTGCTGCTCTCCGGCCAGGCCTGCCTGAGGCCAAGCTGCTACGGAGGCTGCTGTCTCCCCCAGGTCCAGGCAGCTGAAGGCCCCGGCCCGGGGCTGGCCCACTGCCCATCCTGCCAAACATACCCAGACCCGCCCCAGGCCCGGGAGCCAGCACCTTCTGGGACCGGGGGCTCGCTTCCTCTCGGGCCCTTCCTCTGCCCACAGCACCCAAGGTGCCCCGGCACCCCACCAGCAGAACTGAGCCTGCTTCCGCGCCCCTGCCTGCCCACAGCGCACAGGACCCCTCCTCTCAGCAAGCACTCCCCGAAGCGCAGGCAATGCCTGGACCAGCAGCCGCACGGCCCCTGGTGAGCCCCTCGTGTGCCGCCCTGCGGCTCTACCTGGGAAACTCGAGGCTGAGTTTCAGAGAAGTGAGAGCCCCAGATGTATCAGAATCTCCTGTGCTCCCTCACCGCGACTCCAAATTGCTTCTCTCGTGGACAGATGGGGTGAGGAGGCTCCTCCGAACCAGGGGCTGGAGCAGGGCTGACTGCAGGCAGCCCTGGGGGTGTGGCTTCCCTTCCCTCCTCCTCCCCAGCCTGTTGCTGGATCCTCCTAGCACTTCTACAAGGAGCAGCCCACCCCGCGGAGAGGCACTGCCTCCTTCTCCGCCCTGGGAAGCTGCCCGCACCCCCAGCCCGCGGACCAGAAGGATGGCCCGCCGCTGCCCCTCCCTCCCACGCCCAGGCGGCCTGAGCCAGCCCCCTGGGCAGAGCTCACATGCGTGGCTTTCCCACCTGGTCCTGGGTAAACGTCTGTACTTTGGGGTGTCACAGAAATACATTTTTGTGAAAAGTGGAGAAGAGCAGTGTCTTTTTTGTGTGGAGGGGTGGGGTCAGGAGGGGGGCCACGTTCTCTCTGCTCCCCTGTGCCCAGACTCGGTACAGCTGGCAGCCAGCGAGGCCCTGCCAGGGTGGCTCGGTCTGATGGTAGAGACACGTTGGGCACGAAGTTATGACCCATGTGTGATGGGCAGAGAAGGGAGCCCAGGGGCACCTCCTGTGGGCTGGTGGGAGTGGGGGGCAGGGACAGGTTAGCTGGGCCGCAGTGCTTCGGGGAGCAGGAGCCCCTATGGGGCCCGAGACGGCCTGGCGCTCCTAACGCAGCCAGAGAAGCCTCTCAGGAGCGGAAACACGTGTGGGAGGTGAATCCAGGGAGAAGACGAGGCAGGGCCCAAGGGAGGCGCATGGAGACAGAGGGTCCGGCCACGAGAAGGGCCCGGCCGGCAGGACCAGCCTATGGGCTGCAGCAGAGGGAAGAACGAGGGGGCGAGCAGAAGTCACTGGGGCCACATCGCGAGGTGACCACACTCTGGCTTGTCCCAGGGTGACTGGCACAGTGCCCTCGTGCCTCTGGGGTACGCCTTAGGTTGCACCCAATGGGGGAGCCACTGCACAAAGAACAGATCAGGGGAGCCATTCCCACAGGTGCCAGGCGGGTGTGTGCCCAGTGTCCAGAGAAAAAGATTCCCTCCTTGACCAAATTTTAGCCACGCTCCTCAGCCCTCTTCCCAACTCCCAACCAGGCCTCAGCCTTGACCTAGAAAAACCACCACAGGCCCTGAAGCTCCCCCTCCCACATCAAAGAGTTAAACACTAACAGAGCTTCTAAGAGCTCCAGGTTGCAGTCCTAGGATGACCCTAGCCCACCTTAAAGCTCCGGCCTGAGAAAGGTCAAGGCCATTAAAAGACCATCGACCCCACACCCCAGGCTGCCTTAGAGCATTTGCCAAAAAGGCCTTATAATTGTGAGTCCTTCCTCTGTCCCTTTGAAAAGAATTTGTATCTTCGGCAACTGAGGAGTGTCTTTCTCAAGGACTTGAACGCCATTCCTTTGAAATGAATCCTCAGGAAGGATGGGGCCTGTCTCCTAGTCCTGTGAGGACAGAGCCAAACTTGGATTCCTGCCGGCCAGCAGACACAGCGGGCATAATGAGCGTTTACTCACCAGCCCTTCATAACGGTTCACGTCCCTGAGTCTGTCCAAGCCCCCACCAGTTCCCTCTCATTAAATGCCCCGTCATAAATCGCTTCTGGCCTTTTGGCTTAAATCAAATGTAGTGATAGTGTCTGTCTGTCCTTTTTTTTAATTGTGTGCCCACCACCACAATAAAATCATCTTCTGTCACCATATACACTGGCCAGATTATGATCTCTGAATCCATAATAATCTGCTCTCTCGCGCTCTCTCTCTCTCTCTCTCTCTCTCTCTCTCTCTCTCTCTATATATATATATATATATATGCCCAGTGTATGAATTCGTGCATGAGTGGGGTCCAGCCAGCCTGGCCAGGGGAAGGGGACATGGGTGGTTGGCCAGCCTACCTGCTGGTCCAACTCCTCGTCCAGAGGACAATTAGCATATTAGGATATCCTTTTACTATGTAGGATATATACCAAGTGGCCAGATTATTATGTGTTCAGAGATAATAGTAATCTGGCCACTCGGTGTATATGGCGTCCTTTCCCTGTAATATCATACCCACCCCCCACCCCCCACCCCCGTGTCTGTTCTTGTTGGTTTAAAATGCCCGGTCACCTCTGTACAAATGCAAGTGGCACTGAGTTCACACTGGAACCCCTCCCCTAGGACAAGAAGATATTGCTGATTAAAATCTGTCCTTACCACTTTGGTGCCTGACTTGATCTTTGACATCAGTACGTCATTGAGTCATGGAAGCTTCAGGGTTGTTTAAGTGGGTAATGTGCTAGAATTCCTCACTCAGCTAAGTCACACCCCATTGCAGTTATCAAGACTGAGTGGCAAGTAACAGACACGCAGTTCAAACACCAGCCCAGATTAGTCAGAGGTTGGGGGTTGGGGGGCAGGAATTCATTGACTAATGAAACTGGGGAAACTGAGTTAATATCAGCTTCAGGCAAAGCTGGATCTAGGGGCCCAGACAATGTTAAGACTGCCTTTCATACACCCTTTTGGTTCTGCTTATCCCTGTCTCTTTATAAGATGGCCTCACCCTCTCCTGCCACAGTCTCTCTCCACAGAGTGTAGACAGCTGTCAGTTGCTTTACTCTAGTCCTGCCTGAGATCCAAAAGAAGCCTCTTTCTCGGCAGCTTTGCCTTACTCTCATGGAATGATTATAACTGGCCCTGCCAAGTCACATGCCCACCAACGAGGACCAATCACTGGAGACAATCAGACAGGGACGTGCTTGGCTTTCCACAATGACTTCCCACCACTCTCTGGAGTGAGGGACACAGTTCCTTCAGAATCACAGGAGATGGGGAAGAATTAGTTCCCAACAGAAAAAGGAGTGTTGAGCTGACAAAGATAACAGATGTCAGTAGCCCTGGCTGGTTTGGCTCAGTGGATAGAGGATCAGCCTGCGGACTCAAGGGTCCCAGATTTGATTCCGGTCAGGGGCATGTACCTTGGTTGCGATCACATCGGTAGGGGGTGCGCAGGAGGCAGCTGATCGATGTTTCTAACTCTCTGTTCCTCTCCCTCTCTAAAAAATCAATAAAATACATTTTTTTGAAAAAGAAAGAAAGGATCCCTGGGCCCTGGGCCCTGGGCAGATAGCTCACTTGGTCCCTTGGCTAGAGCATCCTCCCCACACTGCAAGGTTATGAGTACGATCCCCATCAGGGTGCGTACAAGAACCAACCGATGAATGCAAAAATAAGTGGAACAACATGCATTCCTCTCCCTTCCTTGCTCTGAAATAAAAAATAATAACAATAAAAGAGGCTCGCTGTAGAAGTTGGAAGGGGCCAATCTAATGGAGAAAGAAGGTGGACACCGGTATCAGTGGGATGTGTGGGTGGAAAGGCAGAGCTGAAGAAGGAAGGCCTGGGGACACAACTGAAGGAGTGTGGGCGGTGAATGATGAAGCCTCGGGTCAGGCGGGCCAGGCTGGCAGGGTGCAGCTGTTGTCTTTCTGTGCTAGACGCTGTTTCCATTAGTGAATCCTCCCCACCATCTAAGGAGGGGACACCATTATCCTCTCTATTATACAGACAAAAAGCAGCTCAGGGTGGTTCAGAAACTCGCCCTCGCTCACACAGACAGGAAGGGGCTGTGCTGGTGTTCCCGAGTCTGACCCAAGCCGGGCCTCCCATAGCCAGAACCTTACAAAACTCCACTTCGATGTAATCCCGTCCGCACTCCCTGACAGTGAATGGCGAGGAGGTGAGAATGTCTCCGCGGAGCCTTTGGTGAAGCCTCAGTCATCACCTCTTTGAACCGGGCACAACTCTGCACCCTGCACTCCCGCACCGGGCCTGGGAGGCTCCGGGGACGGCACGCATGCGCGGGGCCGTGGGGCTGGGGCGGGACGGAGACCGCGGAACCGCACCTGCCGGGCCGGGCGGGGACCGGGGCGCCCGGCCAACGGCTGCGCGCGCGCCGGCCCCGCCCTCAGCCTCTCCAGGCACCTGTTGGCTCGAGGGCCTACCCGGCCGCGGCTTCCACCCAATAGGCAGCCTCCCTGCCCCAACCAGACCCCGCCCACTTCCCACTTCCAGGATTAGCCAATCGCCGGGCACCTGGGCCGCCTCTCCCTCCGAGGGCCCGCCCCTCTGGGCTCTTCTTCCGGGTGGGGCCGGGGGCGAGGCGATGGCGCCGTGGGCGCTCCTCAGCCCCGGCGTCCTGGTGCGGACCGGGCACACGGTGCTGACCTGGGGGATCACGCTGGTGCTCTTCCTGCACGACACCGGTGAGCCGGACCGCGCCGCCCGGACCGCCCGCCCCCGTGGCTCCCCAAACATTTGGGTCTCACTGGGCCCCCCGCCGAAGCCCCAGAGACCCCGGGGTACCGCCCGCCTCCGCCGGCTCCCTTCTGTCATTCCAAGTTTCCGCCTAATTCCTCAATTCTTCCCCGCCAGTCCCCAGTTCCTCCCAGCGTCTTCCTGGTCCCTTCCGGGTGCCCTGTCCACCCCAGAACCCGTGCGATGGCCACCTGATCGATGACCAACTCCAGTCCCCATCTCCCCTGATCTCGGGATCAACCGATACTTTCTGGGAATTGACTCCCAACCTTCCCTCCCCGTGTGATTCGGAGAACCACCTAGATCCGGGGCTGGCATCCCTCCCAGCCCCGTGGCCACGCGCTGCCCAAGTCCAGGCTCCCCATCCTCAGGCGAGAGAGCACCTCACAGGGGAGTGGCCGCTCCTCCATGTCCCCGCCCTTGCTTCTTGCCCTGGGAGCTCTCACTTACCCCACAGACTGCCCCCCTTCCATCCCTCCCTGAGGTCCCCACAGGCGCCTCCAGCACAAGGTCTCACCCTCCCTCCCTCCCTCCCACTCCACCCCCTTGCTCCAGTCTCATCCCCTGGTGTTCTCACTTTCCTCCTAAGACCTTCTCAAGTCTCCTCCACAGTCTTTGCCCTTTATTTTTTAAAATATATTTTTATTGATCATTGATCGGCTGCCCCCTGCACACCCCCTACCGATGGAGTCCACAACCGGGGCGTGTGCCCTTATCAGGAATTGAAACATGACCTCCTGGTTCATAGGTCCATGCTCAACCCCTGAGCCACGCCAGCTGAGCCAGTCTTCTCCCTTTAGCCTAAAAACCTGCTCAGTCTCCCCCCAGAAAGAACCCCCCTTTTTCCTCTGCTCCCTTTTACAACCAGAGTTGTCCACTCCACTGTCTGGCTATCTCACTCCCCTCGCCTCTCAGCCCCTGCCTCTCCCACATCCTCAGTTTCCCTCATTGGTCTGGAGCCTTCCCTGCCCGGGGCTGCCGTCTTGGCCCGTGGCAGCATCTGAGCCTGCCAGTCCCGCCTTCCTGTCCGTCTCATGAGCATCTCAGACCTGCCTGGTCCCCCGTGGTAGAGCCAGAGGCAGGGGCCCTCCTTCACTCCCTAACCCCCTGTCTGTCCATCTCCTCCTCTCCGCTCTGGTCTAGCCACTGCCTCTCCCTGCAGGACAGCCCTCTGCCTCCAGGCTTCCTCTCCGATCACCTTCTCTTCTCTCCACTGGGGAGGTTTCCAGAAGCAGATCTGCCCTGTGACCTTCCCTGGTTCCCTGTCGCCCTCCGGAGGAGAGATGACTGCCTTTTTTTCTTTTTGCTGGCCCTGAATTCCTGTACCTATGCAGGAGACACACCTGACCACCCCTCAAACCCCACCTCCGGGCCTTTGCTCCCCACCTCCACCTGTGCCCGCCCACCACCTTCCCCCACACCGCCTGTCCCCCAGCGGCCTCTCCCTCCGGCCTCTGCAGCTCTGCGGCGATGGGAAGAAGAGGGGGCGCTCCTCCCGCCCCTCACCTTCCTGCTCCTCGTGCTGGCCTCCCTGCTGCTCTATCTGGCCGTGTCACTCATGGACCCCGGCTACGTGAACATCCAGTCCCCAGGTAATGGGGGGGGGGGCCTGAACCCCTCCTCCCACCACAGGGGACCCACAGCCCCAAAACAGTCTCGTGCCAGGTTCTGCGTGAGGGCTTTTCTGGGGCGTCTCAGGGAATCCTCTCACCAGCCCTAGAAACGCTTCTATGGCTCAGAGAGGGAAAGCAACTGGCAAAGGTCACACAGCCTCCCTAGGTCCGGGGCACTCTGCCCCACTCTACCGCCCACATCACACATGGGATGGCCTCCACAACGTGTTCGCCAGCCATCTGCCTCCCAAGGGGACCCCTTCTTACGCCCCGGCCCCCATTTTCAGGAGGAGGCCAAGGAGGAGCAGACGGCCATGGTTCCTCAGGCCATCGCCCTCCGGCGCTGCAGACACTGCATGGTGCTGGTGAGTGGCTCGGGGACTTCCCGGAGGGTCAGGGGTCAAGTGGAGACGGACCTCACCCCCAGGCCCCCTAGGTTCAGGCCCAGCCTCCCACCCTCACCGCTGCCCGCACTGTCGATCTGGAGGGGGAGCCGGTGCTGAGCCCCGCTCTCCGCCCAGCAACCCCTGCGGGCCCGCCACTGCGGTGAGTGCCGCCGCTGCGTCCGCCGCTACGACCACCACTGCCCCTGGATGGAGAACTGCGTGGGGGAGCGGAACCACCCGCTCTTCATGGCCTACCTGGCGCTGCAGCTGGTGGTGCTCCTGTGGGGCCTGCACCTGGCATGGTGGGTCCCGCCCCGCCCTGTGCGGGGGGGGGGGGGGGGGGGGAGCCGCACGTGCCCGCAAGGTGTGCACAGCCGGACACCCTCTCTAGGGGGCCCGGACCCTTTCCCAAGCGGCCTGCCCTCCTGGGCTCCCTGGGGTGCCCCTGCCTTCTCCCTGCTCGGGGCCCCCATCCCTCTGCTGCCCACCCCGCAGGTCCGGCCTCCGCTTCTTCCAGCCCTGGGGGCTGTGGCTGCGGTCCAGCGGGCTCCTGTTCGCCACCTTCCTGCTGCTCGCCCTCTTCTCCATGGTGGCCGGCCTGCTCCTGGCCTCGCACGTCTACCTGGTGGCCAGCAACACCACCACCTGGGAGTTCCTCTCCTCGCACCGCATCGCCTACCTCCGCCAGCGCCCCAGCAACCCCTTCGACCGGGGCCTGGCCCGCAACCTGGCCCACTTCTTCTGCGGGTGGCCCTCGGGGCCCTGGGAGACCCTCCGGGCCGAGGAGGAGGAGGAGGAGGAGGGGGAGGGTGGCGGCCAGGCTGTTTAGGGTTGCAGGAGGCAGAGCCACCATCTTGTGCCTGAAAACGAAGGGCAGGCCCCGAGGGCCTGGGGCTGCTCGCTTCTGCCCGCACCTCCCAGCCTCCGAGCCTCCGAGCAGACTGACCTCCAAGGAGGGAGGGAGGAAGAGGACCTATTTGGGGCCAGGGCACCTGTGCCCGGGACATCCGAAACCTCCACCCACCCTCCAAGCCAGAATCCCTCCAGTGCACAGTTTTATACATTTAATAATCCATAAAGCAAGTCAAGTATAAAAACCAAACCAAACGACTCCTCACCGGGCCACCCTTTCTGTCCACGTCTGGCTGAGCACGGGAGGGTGGGGGGGAGCACAAGGCCAGAGGCTGAGCCGAGCCCCCTCCTCGGGTCCGAAGGGGGATAAATACCAGGCGAGGCCTGGGCCTCCAGGGCAGGGCGCACAGCTGGGCAGACGGGTGGGCAGTGAGGCCCTGAGAGTCCGGGGGACGGGGGCCAGGGACACGGGGAAGGCCCTCAGGGCTGCAGGAACCGCTCTGCCACGAAGTCGAAGTCCGGAAGGCAGCCTGCTGGCGGGCAGTGAGGGGGCCTCGGGGGTCCGGCGGGGTCAGGGCAGGCGGCAAGCCCGTGAACTCGCCCTCGAAGTAGCGCAGATCCGTGGGCCCGCAAAGGGTGGGCGCGAAGGGGGCTGGACGGCGCGGGCCAGCAGAGCCTGCCAGTCAGTGGTCTGGGGACAAGGGCAGAGGTGCCTGAGCTGCCGGCAATGGCAGCCCAGGCGGCGCCCCCTCCCGGCCCGCTGGGCCCCGGCCACTCACCCTGAAGAAAGGCTGTGTCTTAATCTCCTCCGCGTCCTGCTCGCCTGCCCCCAGGCGCTTCTCCGGGCACTTCTGGAGGAGCTGGGCGAGGGCAGGTGCTCACCCAGGGCATGGGCCCCGGGCACTGCCGCCTCCCAGGCCCCCGAGGGAGCTGGGCCCCGGCCCCCAGGAGGGGTGGTGGCTAGAGAGCGGTGAGCCAGGAGCAGCTGCCCGCCCAGCCCTGCACCTGCAGGCAGTTACCTTCTGAATGAGCTCCAGCCCTTGCACCGACAGGAAGCGGGGGTACGGGGCCTCCTCGTTGACGATACAGTCAAACACCTCCTCCTCGGTGTCCCCTGGGAATGGGCACTGCGGGGACGGGGGGCTCAGTGGGGTGCACGGGCCACTCCCAGCCCACCCCGACCTCTAGGCCCCGGCAGCCCAGGCTCGGCACTCACCTCACCCACCAGCATCTCGTACAGCAGCACGCCCAGCCCCCACCAGTCCACGGCCCGGGTGTAGGCCTCCTGGGTCAGCACCTCAGGGGCCAGGAACTCGGGGGTGCCACAGAAGGTGCTGGTCCGGTCCCCAAAGCCAATCCCTGCAGGTCAACAGCCACACCGGCTCAGTGTGTCTGGTCCACAGTGATCTCTGTGGTTGTAAAAACCAACAGCCAACCCTTCTGCCCCCCCCCCGGTACCTAACCCGTGCCAAGCCCTGCGCCCTACTCCGGGAGGTAGGAATGGATTTTACGACGTCGGAAGGAGGAGGCCAGGCTTAGCCAAGCTCACATCCCAAGGCCCTCTCCCAGCTCCGGAGCACAGGCCCTCTCTTCGCAGCTTGTAGGGTTGGGAAAGAAGCCCAGTGTGTCCACTTAGGTCCCTGGAATGCGGACGGGGGGGGGAGGGGGGGGAGATTTCCCGGGAGATGCCCCTGCTGGCCTGGACCGGGTGAGAAGGCTGGGAGGACACAGGCTCCAGGACAGGGACACCCACCTTCCTTACACAGCCCAAAGTCTGCGATCTTCAGGAAACCCTGGGCATCCAGCAGAAGATTATCCAACTTAAGGTCCCTGGGGAGGAGAGGGGGGCAGAGCAAAGGGGCCCTGGACCGGCGCCCAGGCGAAAGACGGCACCCGCTCCCTCGCACTCCCCCAGCACCTCAGGGAGGAGTTACCTGTAAATGATCTTCTTCTCGTGCAGGAACTGCAGCCCCAGGACCACACAGGCCAGGTAGAACCTGGAGGGAGTCAGGGGAAGCTTAGGCCCAGGACTGGGGGGTGGGGGGAGGGCAGGGAGGCACAGGATGACCATGGCCTGGGACCCCTGAATGAGGGCAAGCAGTTGGGACAAGCCTCATGCGGGGGTGGGGCTCCGCCGGACAGCAGCCCAAGGTCGTCCCAAGTTTGCTGCCAGCCCGCAGCCTACTCTTCCTGAGGACCATGGTCTCCTTGGCCCTCCTCCTCCCGGCAGCCTGCAGGCCCGTTTTCCAAACGAGGATCTGAGCCCCCAGGTGAGGGAAGTGCCCAGGGTCACAGCTAGGGGCAGAGCTGATGTGAGCCCAACTTCAGGGCGCACTCTGGTGGACAAGAAATGACTGCAGCCGCCTGGCACTGCTCACCGGCAGTTCATAAATGCCATGCTTCTCCGTGGAGCAAGCCTGACAGTTCTCTCAAACCCGATTCCTCGCTACACAAATGCGGGCTCAAGGCCCCCAAGTGCTGTGAGAGCTGATGACCAGGATTCGAACCAAGCCTCCCTGGCTCCCTGCTCCGGGCTGACGGGTGGAGGGAGGCCGGTCCAGGAACCTGGTCGGCCTGTGGAAGAGGCAGACGAGAGGCATGGAAACGCACCGGGCCTGGGGCTCAGGGAAAACGTCCTCGTGGATCTGCATCATGAGGTCGCCCCCCGGAGCAAACTCGGTCACGAAGCAGGCGTGGCTGGGGGTCTGGAAGCAGGCCAGGAGGGACAGCAGGAAGGGGTGCCCCGTGCGGCCCACGGCCTCCAGGATCCGCTTCTCGCAGTACAGGCTGCAGGGGAGGGTGTGGGTTCAGAGGGAAGGAGCCCTCCCCTGGCTGTGCCCTGCCAGTCCAAGTGCCAGGCAGCTACACAGAGCTGGTTTCTGTGTACCAGGGGCTCAGGGGGCCATTTCACCTGCACAACCACCACTGTCCCATTTTACAGATGAGAAAACTGAGGTGCAGAGGTAAGAGAGGCCCTGAACAAGGGCCTATCATTAATTGCAGGTGCTTAAAAAAAAAACAAAATACACAAAAACCCAGGCCTGGCTGGCCCCAGGTCACCACTTCAAAGCCCAGAGTGTCGGGCTGCCCTCCGGTGCCAGCAGCCCAGGCCAGCCGTCTGGAGCCCGCTGCAGGGCCGGGGGCCCGCGGCATCACCACACACCTCTCTATCTCGTCCCGGCTCAGCACCTCATGCTTCTTCAGCGCTTTGATGGCGTAGTATTTCCCCGTGCCCTTGAACTGCACCAGGAGGACCTGGGGACAGAGGAGGGCTGGGCTCCAGGGGGCAGTACCGGGTTAGGATCACAGCGTCCTCCCAGCTAACGCTCCGAGGGCCGCCCACCCTCACGGCACCCACCTTCCCGAAGTGTCCCCGGCCCAGCACAGCCAAGCAGCGGAAGTCCTGAAGCCGTGGGGGTTTCCTGTGAGAGAGGGGCACAGGCAGCCCCCGGGCCAAGGGCTGGGCCTCCACCAACCCTTCAGTGCCCAACGCTGGCCTGGCGCCACCTATGGGGCTGGCAGGCCAGGGGCTCAGGCGCAGCAGCCGGAGGCTGGCATACAGCTGGGCTCAATGATGTCGATTTAGCCCTAACCGGTTTTGGCTCAGTGGATAGAGCCTCGGCCTGCGGACTTGAAAGGTCCCGGGTTCGATTCCGGTCAAGGGCATGTACCTTGGTTGCGGGCACATCCTCAGTAGGAGGTGTGCAGGAGGCAGCTGATCGATGTTTGTCTCTCGTGGGTGTTTCTAACTCTCTATCCCTCTCCCTTTTTATCTGTAAAAATCAATAAAATATATTTTAAAAAAAAATAATAATGTTGTTTCAGAACGAGAACCTGAGAGCGAGCTGTGAGCGCCCAGGAGCCGAGGGGAGGGGTGATGACCGAGGGGACACGCAGGCACTAGAGTGAGTGGATAACGTCTCCAACAAGAAGGTGAACTGTCGCGGTACCTGGTCGCGGGGGCTGGCGGGGGTGACCCCAGTCGAGTCCTGGGCTCCATGTGGGGGCGTTTGGTGCGCTGTGAGGGAGAGGGGCTCAGGGCAGCGCAGCAGGCAGAGCTTCCTCCCTCCCTCCCTCCGGCTCCGCCACCCCAGCCCAGCAGCCCCCAGGCTACCGGCCCCCTCACGGCGTCTCCTCCAGGGCTGGCTCCCGGGGAAGGTAGAGGCGTGGGGCTTGGGTGGGGGCCTCATCTCTTCTCCCAAGGGGTCTTCTTGGGTGGGAGACTACTGTGGGGGAGGGAGCAGACATGGTGGGCACAGGCAGACAGAACAGCGGGGGGGGGGGGTGGAGACAGTGATGCTGGGGGGGGCAGGAGTCTGGGGGGTGAGGTGGCAGCTTCTCACCTGGGCGAGGCAGGGCTGGAGGCCCCCCGCGGTGTGGCCGGGGTCCGGGGGCACCCTTTGGGAGGGCTGACGGTGCTGGGGGAGCTGCAGGGGGGCAGCAGGTTCATGACCAGGCGCCCCCAGGCTGCATGCTGAGTTCATCTGCGAAGCCCGCAGGAAGTCCTGGCCTGGGGCAAAAGGGAGGCTCAGTCCGGGGCCCCTGACGCCCCAGCCCCCCTCCCACAGGCACAGCCGTCCTGGCCATACCCCTGCGTTTAGAGAAAATGCGGTTTCTGCCTCTGCAGCCGGGCCTCCTCTCAATGACGGGGTCACAGAAGGTTACCTGCGGGTCACAGGAGGTTACCTGAAGCCCAGTCCCCTCCCACCCCCGCCTTGCCATGGGCACCCCCGCCTCCAGGATCCAGCCTGAGCCCCAGTGGCAACGATGCAGAGCCAGGAGGGATCCGAGAGGCAGAGTCAACATCCTCGTGGGCAGCAGCAGGGAAACTGAGGCCAGAGGAGGGAGGCACTTGTCTAGAGTCACCCTGAAGCAGGCAGTCAGGACAGGACACAGGCCTCGGGCTCCGTGTGGGCCTCGGGACGGCCTGGGAGCCTTCCTCCCTCCGGGCCTCACTGCCCACTCCTCCGAGGGGGCCGGGAGCCCCCGTGATCGGAAGGCAGGGGTCGGGGGCAACCTGGGCAAAGAGCAGCCCCTGGGGCAGCAGGCTGAGCGTGAGCTGGTGGCACGCGTTGTCCAGGAAGTCCTCCAGCCGCAGGAAGGCCACGGCGCACAGCTGCCGCCAGTCCGCCAGCGCAACCCCGACCTCCAGCTCCCGGCCTGCAGCGGAGAGCCGGGTGAAGATGGCCGCCCCCCCCCCCCGCCCCCCGCGCCCCCACGCCACCCCGGCTCCCCGGGGCCGGCCTCACCCGCTCCAGGGGGATGACAAAGGTCTGGTCCCAGCACTGCCGGGCCACCGGGCCCCAGCCCGTCTGCCCACCACGCGATTGTCCACCTTCAGCACGGCCAGCGCCTCGCCTGCAGGGCCAGAGCCAGGGTTCAGGGAAGGCCAGGAGTGGGGGTCCTTGGCTGCCCGCCCCCCCATGGCTCCCTGCAGCCCCTTACTCACTGGCCAGCTCGCCTCTGTGCCCCGCTGCTGCCTGGCTCTGCCCCGAAGCCAGCCCTGCCGAGGGGCTCCTGGCCAGCGCGGTCACCGGGGACCGGCCGGGCACCCGCTGTCAGCAGCTGCTCACAGCCAGGAGGTGGACCTGCAGGGTCCCTGTGGGGAGCCGGAGGGGGGGGGTTGGGGGATGGGAAAGCATGGTCAGGTGCCATCCTCCCACTGCCAGCCCCAGTGACCCCTGGACCCCAGGGACACTGCCTTCCCATAGGAATGGCTGAACCCAGAGCCGCCACACGGGCCACCCTCCAGGCAGACCGGCTGGCTCTCCTCCTGAGCGCTGTCCATGTGTT